GTTTAGGGTTTAGGGTTGGGGGTGTAGGGCCTAGGGTTCGGCGCGCAGTGTAGAGGGTTTCGGATTGAGGGTTCACTGTCCAGGGTTTGGAGTGCAGTGCCGAGGGTTTAGGGCTTCGGGGTGAGGGTTTAGGGTTTAGGGTTTAGGGTTTAGGGTTTAGGGTTTTGCGCAGGGAATTTGCCGCTGCTGGCGGAAGCCACTGAGGAGGGTTTGAAGGCGCACTTGACGGAGTGCATGCGTTTGCGGCAGCCCCAAAGTTGCATGCGGAGTCCCGTGCTGCACGTGTGGTTCAGCAAAGACCGCAGCAGCAGCAGCAGCAGCAGCAGCAGCAGCAGCAGCAGCAGCAGCAGCAGCTACGGCTTCGTCGAACTCAAAACGGCCGAGGCGGCGCAGCAGCTGCTGTCCATACACCCCATCGTCTGGAAGGGCCACCAGCTGCGCCTCAATAGGCCCTCCGAGTGGCGCAGGGACTCCAAAGAACTTCTCTTCAAGGACGTTTCCGGGTCTCTTTCTTCGCTTTTTCTGCATCTTTTTGTGTCTTTTTTCTCCCGCTTTCATCCTCTTTTTAATTCCGCTTCATTTCCTCTTTATTTTGGCCTTTTTTCCGCGTTTTTCCCGCTCAAAAATGCATTTTTCTCTCTGTTTCTTCTTCGGTTTTACTCCAAAGAACTTCTCTTCGAGGACGTTTCCGGGTCCCTTTTTCCGCTTTTTTTGCATCTTTTTGTCTCCTATTTCTTCCCCTTTTATCCTCTCTTCGATTCCCTTTCATTTCCTCCTTATTTTGATCTTTTTTCTGCTCTTTTCCGCTTAAAAATGCATTTCTCTCTCTTTTTTCCCTCTACTTTACTCCAAAGAACTTCTCTTCAAGGACGTTTCCGGGTTTCTTTCTTCGTTTTTTCTGCATCCTTTTGTCTCATTTTTCTCCCGCTTTTGTCTCCTTTTTAAATCCTTTTTCTCCGTTTTATTTTAATCTCTTATCCGCGTTTTTTCCTTCTTCTTTCTGTGTTTAGTGACTTTTTGTCTCTTTTTCTCCTCCTTGACTTTTTGTTTTCTTTTTTCCCTTTTTTCCCCTTTTATGGCACTGTTTAGTCTCCCTTTCGTGTCTCTTTTTGGTTTTCTTTTTCCTCTTTTTCAGTTTTCTTTTTCTCTTTTTTTCTTTTTTTTATTTTATTATTTTTCCTCTTTTTAGTTCTCTGTTCCCTTTTTGTGTTTCTTTCTTTTCTTTTTCTAATTTCTCCTTTTCTTTTTTTAATTTCTCTCTTTCTTTTTCTAATTTTTTTTCTTTTTCTTCTTCTTTTTTGTTTTGTCTCTTTTTGTCTTTTTTTGTCTCCTTTTTGCTTTTTAATTTCTTTTGTTGTCCGTTTTCATTTTTTATTTTCTTTTTCCGTTTATTTTCTTTTTTATTTTTTTCTCTTTTCTTTTTTTATCTCCTTTTGTCTCATTTTACCTTCTTCCATTTTCTTTTGTCTTTTTGTCTCTTTTCATTTTCTTTTGTCTCCTTTTGCTTTTTATTTTCATTTATTTCCGTTCATTTCCATTTTCTCTTTTCATTTCTTCTTATTTTCATTTACTTTTTTTGGTTTTCATTTATCTCCTTTTATTTTATTTATTTCTTTTTATTTATCTGTCTCCTTTTATGTCTTGCTACTTCTTTCAATTTCCCTTTTATTTATTTTTTATTTCTTTTTATTTCTTTTTATTTCTTTTCATTTCTTCTTATGTCTCGCTATTTCTTTCAATTTCTTCTAATTTTTTCTATTTTCATTATTTATTTTATTTTCATTTACTTTTTATCTTCATTGCCTCCTTTTGTCTCTTTGCTGCTGCGTCTGTTTGCTGCTGCAGCGCAGCAAACGCGCCGCTGCTGGAGAGTGTTGCTGCAGCAGCAAAAGCAGCAGAAGCAACAGGAGACAAAACTCCTTTGGTGTCTCTTTTGTGCAGCTTGTCCGAGGCCCAAAGAAGAGTCATTGCGTAAGCCAGCAGCAGCAGCAGCAGCAGCAGCAGCAGCAGCAAAGCAGCAGCAGCAGCAGCAGCAGTAGCAGTAGCAGCAGCAGCAGCAGCAGCTGCAGCAGCTGCAGCAGCAGCTGCAGCAGCTGCAGCAGCAGGAAAACAGCAGCAGCACCACAACCACCACCACGAGCAGGACCATCGCCGCACCCAGCAGCAGCAGCAGCAGCAGCAGCAGCAGCAGCAGCAGCAGCAGCAAAATGTTTTAATGGATTTAAACTTTGATTTGAGTTTAGGGACTTTCTCGAAAAGTCTCCAACGGGATTAACTGGAAACTCCACTTTGCCTGTCGAGCTGCTGCAGTGCCGCATCCAGACGGAGTTGCTGCAGGGGGTAATTTTAAAATAAAAATTAAATTAATTAATTTAATTAATTTAATTAATTTAATTAATTTAATTAATTTAATTAATTTAATTTAGTTTAATTGCTTGTGGTGAGTCAATTTGGTTTGGTTAGTTTTGTTTTATTCATTAAATTAAATTAGTTGGGGCAAATTGATTTGAGATAATTTGAATGGAATTGAATTGAGTTAAATTAATCGAATTAGTTTAAATTGGCTTAATTTAATTAGTTAATTTAATTTAATTAATTTAATTTAATTAATTTAATTAAATGGTTCAGTTACGTAATTTGAAGTTAAATCAATTAAAATGAGTAATATAATTAAATAATTCAAAAAAAAAGCGAATTCATGTTTCTGTTTTAACTCCTTTAATCCTTTTATTTTTATTTTCTTATTTTCAAAAAAAGAAAAACAAATTTAGTTTTTTGTCCTTTTTCTGTATTTTCAATTCTTTGAATTCTTTCGAGTTTTAATCTAGTTTCTTCCAATTACATTTAGTTATTTTTAATTATTCTCGATTCCCTTTAGTTGTTTTTAATTACTTTTAGGTTTAAGGGTTTAGGGTTTAGGGTTAAGGGTTGAGGGTTTAGGGTGGTTTAGGGTTTAGGGTTTAGGGTTTAAGATTTGGGGTTCAGGGTTCAGGATTTAGGGTTTAGGGTTGGGGGTTTGGGGTTTGACGCTTAGGGTTTAGGACTAAAGGTTCAGGGTTCAGGGTTCAGGGTTCAGGGTTCAGGGTTCAGGGTTTAGGGTTTAGGGTTTAGGGTTTAGCGTTTAGGGTTTAGGGTTTAGGGTTTAGGGTTTAGGGTTTAGGGTTTAGGGTTTAGGGTTTAGGGTTTAGGGTTTAGGGTTTGCGCGCAGGCTCCGTCGCGCGTGGTGCGCGTGGTGAGTCCCTTGAGCGGGGGTTTCGAGGGTTTGGAGGGAGTGGATATTTTCGAAAGGGTTTTGAGAAGTATAAAAAAAGAAAA